TTCCTGCTTGCCCCAAGAGTTCTCTGCACCTGTGACTGGTCTGGCCCCACCCCTGTCTGCATTGCACACCATTAGTGATGGGTAGTAAGCGGCACGTCCACAGTGGGGGTGGGGGCATGCGGGGGGCTGGCCAACTGCAGCACTGAGAACGGTACTGAATCCATGTCTCTGTGTGTATGTGTGTGTGTGTGTCTTCTCTCTGTTCGCCTTCCCTTTCTCTTCTTGGCCTCTTCCCCTTCCTCCTGCCTGGGCCCCGCCCCTGCCCTTGCCCGGCCCCCTCCCCTCCCCAGGACCCATGCAGACTGCCCGCAGCTCCTGGACACAGAGGACATGGTGCGGCTTCGAGAGCCTGACTGGAAGTGCGTGTACACGTACATCCAGGAGTTCTACCGCTGTCTGGTCCAGAAGGGGCTGGTAAAAACCAAAAAGTCCTAACCCCTGTTCGGGGCTCCACGGTGAGAAACACTGCCTCGCCCCTCTGCCCAGTTACGCTGGAATCTGCTCAGGGGGGCACAAAGAGGGCCCCCAGAGGTGGGTCGTGGGATAGCAGGGAGACTTTGTTCTCTGGTAGCTCAGGGCCTGGCAGGTTATGCCCTTCTCCTAAAGACTGAGTGATGAGCCAGGTTAGCAGGACTGTGATGGGAAAGCCCAGGAGGCTGTGGGAGCTCAGAGCTCATCTAGCTTATAGTCTATGATGATTATCTAGAAACCAGGTGATCCCTAAGTGGGAATGGGAACAAGTTCAGGTGAAAGGAGGGAGAGAGTTTCAGACAGAGGGTTGGCAGAGAGAATGTGAGAGAGGTTGGCACATCCAGGAAGGGAAAGCAGTAGGCTCCAGGGGTGAGGAGAGGAGAAGGAGCCACAGCCAGGAGTCTGGTCTTCCTCCTGAGGATAACAGGGGCCATAAAAGGTTTCCAAACAGACACGGGATATCATCATGTTGGCAATAATCCTTGGATGAGACCAGGATAAGGGATGGGGCAGGGAAAGTAGACTGACTGGAGCAGCTTACAAAGTAAGAGTGTCAGGGTTCAGGAAAGGAGAGAGGGTCCAGGAAGCCTCCCTGCTTTCTAACTTGGGCTTTGAGGTGTCAGCAGTGTCACATGCCTAGGGGAGCTCAAAAGCAGGGCTGGTTCCCCAAGATGAGGTTTCTGGCTGTGGGGTGGAATGGGTTGTGGGGAGATTGCCGTTGGTCCCCAGGTCAGCTGAGGCATTTTCTCTCTGGTCCCCCTCACCTTGGTGCCACAGTAGAGAATTAGATCATGAACTAACTGCTCTACTATAGATAGGGAGCTCAGAGAGGGTAGGGGTAGAAAGCACAGAGTATCTCACAGATTTTAGGGCAGAGCTGAAGCCAGAAACGGAAGTGCCAGACTCCCCACTCTGGCTCTTTTCTTTGCCTCATCATTGCTTTCCCACTCATTCTGAAGAGAGTAGGAAAAAATGAAGACCCAAAGGGAGCAAGGAGATTTCTCAAGGCACCATGGGTCAGAGAGAGCTAGGGGTGCACTCAGATGCCCCTCAGAGCCTGGAGTCATCATGGGGGCAGTCCACTTGTTCACACATACACTCACAGGAGCAGTGCAGGTGAGGGGAGGATGGGTTTGGTGCAGTCTTCGGGTCATATATGGACTTTGGAGCTACTGCCCAGCAGGACAGCCTAGAGGGGAGAGGGGCCCAGTCAGGCCCGGATCCAGTTGGAAAGTGTGACTCAGCTGTGCTATTGCTCCAGTTGCCTGATGTTTAGCCTGTCGCTGGGGCAGCCCAAGCTCTGATCCGTGAGTCCCAGTGTAAACAATGGCTTTATAAGGTCTCCAGGGAAGGCACCAGGGGTGGGAGGGAGCTCCAGGTTGTGGGGGAGGAGAGCCGGGATCCCCAGGGAGATAGCCAGAGCTAGAGAGAGTTTGGAAGACAGGCTGTCTCTCAACCATGGTACAGCTGGAAAGCAGACCCCTTCTGGGGCAGTGACAACCCCAAGGGTAACTCAGCACATCATCAGCAGAGCCAGGAACTCTTCACTCAGTCCTAAGGGCTTCCATGGTCTCTTAGGAGGCAGGAAACAGCTATACTGTTATAAAAATGGGGAAACGGAGTCACAGAACAGTGCGTCACCTAGCATTCACAGCTGGTCAAAGGGAAAGCCTGGACCAGAACTCAGATCTCATGTCTCCTTGGAGGAATCTAGGTGAGCTGGGGTTAGGCCTTAGCTCTATCACAGGAAGGCATAAGATGGGGAGGTGGTCCTAGGCCCAGGGCTGTCTTGGGAACAGGAGCAACTCCTGCCCTTAAGCCTTCCTTGCTGCAAGAAACTCATTCAATAACACTGAGTGCTTACTATGTGCCAGGCATGGCAGATGCAGCAGAGAAGGCAGATGAGGCCTTGCTCAGAAAGGAGGGGGAAACTGGAGCTTAGCAGCAAACCCCAGCTTTAGAACTCTATGGCTATCAGTTGCTTAGCAGCTGCAACCCACTCACACCAGGCTGGGGAGAGGGCGCCTACATTAAGGAAGAGGGGGCTCCAGGATCAGGGCTCATTCGTCCCAGCCCCGCAACTACCTATGGTGGGTTGGAAGCAAATGACTCAGTTTCTCCATCTGCCTAGTTCAGCTTGCACTCTGGAGAGTGGATAGAAGGGCAGCCAATCCTTGAACGTGGTACAGATTGGTTGGGACCCTCATCTGCTTCCCCTGGTCTACCCCATGTTGGTGACAGGGGTTACAGACTCCCCTCACCTGCAACACATACACACACACACTTCCTGACCTCTATCTCATGCAGCAGGGAAGTCCCAGGGGCAAGGACAGGGATTCCTGTGCCTCCCCAAAGGAGGGACCAGGCTAGCAGCCAATTGATCATCTTCAGGGGCCTAGAGGGTCACTGAGGCCCTTCTGGTCCAGACAAAGATTTGCCAGTGGTGAGGCCCCTATTGGATGCATTGTCCTCGTTAAGAAGCCATTGCAGGCTGGTGTGTGTCAGGGACTAGGAGGAGGGGTTAGGGGTCTGGACCTACTCTAAAGCTGCAGGAACTTTCAGACCCAGCCCTGCCTGGGATGAGTTTTGACTCTCCTTGCCCAATTTCTACCGCCACAATTTCTACTGGCACTAGTCTGGTCTCACCCATCCCCAAGGAGTGCCTCCAGGCCTGGATGTGTGAAGTCTGTTGCTTTCTGCCTCCTGGGAAGGCTTGATCCCATTTCACTGATGCTATATGGAGTGTATGGAAGACCAACGGGCAAAGGCAATAAAAGAACCTCAGAGTAAAGGAGCGCTGCCAGTGACTGGGTCCCGCACTGACCTCCTCCCACCATGCCCCCTTCCTGCAGGATGCTGGTGGACTGCGTGCCCCTGGTGGAGGTGGAGGACATGATGATCATGGGCAAGAAGCCGGACCCTAAGTGCGTCTTCACCTACGTACAGTCACTCTACAATCACCTGCGGCGCCACGAGCTGCGCCTGCGCGGCAAGAACGTCTAGCATTCCCGCCCGCAGCCTGCTGCCGCCCCCACCCCTGGGCACAACCCCAGCCCCGCGTGCCTGCCCACCGCTGCTCCCGTCTGTCGCGACACCCCACCCCCAACACACGCAGCGTTTTGATAAATTATTGGTTTACAAATACTCTGAATCCTTTCTGCCTCGCATGGAGTGGGAGGGGGTACTCCCCAAGATGTGCCCATGTAACGACTTCAGAGACCCAAGCCCTAACAGGAATGCAGGATATCCCGAGGGGGTTGTTTTGTTAAGTGCCTCGGAGTTGGTTCTGACTCATAGCAACCCTGTGTAGGGCTGCCGAGGCTTTAAATCTTCGCGGGAGCAGAAAGCCTCATCTTTCTCCCGCTGAGCGGCCCGCGGGCTCGAACCGCGGAAATTGTGGTTGGCAGTCCAGTGCTTATTGTATGGTGCTCCCCAAGGGCGGGGGATGAAGAGAATAGGGCTCCCATTCGGACCTCCTGCCTCACCCGCCAGCAACAAAGAAGAAGCCGAGTCAGTCTTAGTTTAAACGGAAGGGAATTTAGTGGAGTTGATGGGGAATGAACACCCCCACCCTCGCCGGCTCAGGGACGGGCATCGGCCCTCAGCGAGGAAAATGCTCCCGGGACGCTGAGTGCTTCATGAAGTCCCCGGGCTCGGGCAGGCTCCCCCTTCTCCGCCGTTCCTCGGAACCTACAGGTCGGAGGTGTGGTCCGTGGCGCTCTCGTCTGGCCTAGCGGGCGCCTGCAGGTACTCAGGGGGCACTGGCGCGTCCGGCGCCGCCTTGCGATAGAAGCCGAGTTCCTGCACTAGCGCGTTGATCTCCTCGCGTGTCATATCGCTGAGTGGGATGCGCTAAAACAGAGAGGGCGGGGTCAGAGTGCTGGGTCCCACCTCTCGCCACGCCCCACGCCCGCCTCTCAAAGCCTCACCTCTAGCTCCTTGTAGCGTTGGTCCAGCAGCACGAGTTCGGGGTCGGCCCCCGGGAGGTGTTTCATCACCAGGTTGTGGCTGGAGGTGAAGTTAAGGGAGGTAGTGGTGGGCAGAGGAGGCGCCTTGGTGACGCAGATTAGACTCTGGGCTGCTAACCAAAAGGAAGCCACCAGAAGTTCGGGGGAGAAAGCTATGGCAGTCTGCTTCAGTAAAAATCCATAGGGTCCCTATGAGTCGGAATCGACCGGAAGGCAACAGGTGGGAGCTCCTGGGGTTTTGCTGATGTAAACATCACAGCCACCTCTGCTGAGCAGTTACCCTGTGCCCTGGTAGGGCCACGAAAGCACCATTTACAAGTGAGGAAACCTATTCTCCATCCCAGTGCCTGTGGCAGACATTACTAATCAATCTCTTGCTTAACCAACCTGTTGTTGTTGTTGTTGTGTGCCATCGAGTCGGTTCCGACCCATAGCGACCCTGTATAGGGTTTCCGAGGGTGTAAATCTTTACGGGAGTAGAAAGCCTCATCTTTCTCCCGCGGAGCAGCTGGTAGTTTCGAACCACTGACCTTAAGGTTCGCAGCCCGATTCGTAACCACTATGCTACCAGAGCTCCTTTTAAGCCACTTATAATTCCTCTGGGCAGTCACTACAAGTCAATTTCACTTGTTAAATAAAAACTATCTGCATACCAATCATCTCACTGAAATTAAGTGGGAGAAGATCCTCTCAGCCCTCTCCCCATGCTCCCTGCCTCTGGACAAGAAAGTAAGGATACTAGAATGGGATATCCTGGGTGACAAAGGCCTTCACCTAGGGAGGAACCAGAGCATCAGAGAACAGAATCCAATCCCCTCCATGTACACATGGTGGACTGGAGTCCAATGAGTCCACCACACAGGCTCCTGACTCCCAACCCAGGGGTTCTCCTCCATCTAATCATTGGGATCATGTTGCCCACCCCTCAAGAGGTTCAGAGGGGACAGAGCTGGGAAATACTTTCCTTCAGACTCACCTCCTTCATGCGGTTCAGCTGTCATCCTCCACAGGTCTGGAAGGGGACAAAATGGAATTGGTCAGAAGCTCCCCACATCTGCTCCAGCCACAACCCAAGGCTATTTCACTCTTATCCCCACGTTGTTGTTGTTAAGTGCTGTCGAGTCGATTCCGACCCATAGCGACCCTGTATAGGGTTTCCAAGGAGCAGCTGGTGAGCTTGAACCACCGACCTTACCGACTTTGCAGTTCAAATGACTGCAGTCTGATGCGCTCGCTAGCCCACAGCGCCACACCCGGACTCCTAAATTCCCAATTTAGGCCAGGCTAACTTGAAGCAGCCATTCCCAGAGTGTGAAGCAGATAGGCGACCCCTTGTGGGTACAGGGGGTATTATACTGTATATGGGAAAACTGAGGCATAGGGTCATTTGGGGAAAGGACCAAACGCAGAGATCCAAATGGGTCTTGCAGCCTCCAGCTCTTGCCTGCACTCCCTACTGACTATTGACTCACTTAAGTCTTCTCAGTCCCAGGAGAAACATCACCCTTCACCTCCAGTAGACCTGGGCCTGGCCTTTGTTGTAAGGTAGAGGCAGACCAGAAGGAAACCATTCAGAACTGCAAGGGGGGTTGGGAGCATGGGTTAGGCCTTTATTAGTGACACCTGCCATCTGGTCACTATGCCCTACACACCATCTGGTTCCCTCCAGGACATGAGGAAGGGGAGGGCCCCTCTCTATGCTTTCCGCTGGGGCCACTTGCCAGCGAATCAAGACTCTAGGGCCCACCCATTCCAATTCCCCCCACGCCCTCCCTCTTTTTGTCATACAGAAAGCTAAGGCCCAGAGTAGGTCTGTGATGGTTCAAGTCACACAAAAAGACAGGGACTTAGGCGGAGGGGATTTCCCAGCTTTCCTGGCGAGGGAAACTGGCAATGACGTTCCCATGTCTTCTGGCTCCTGCAATGGGGAAGCGCCCTATAGTCTTCTCTTCCCCCGCTAGGGAAGGGAAGACCCTCCAGAGCCCAAAGTCCTAGGACCACAGTGAGGGAGGAATTTCAGGGAAAAAATGGAATGGTTCTGGATGAGGAGTTAGGCTTCAAGGGGCTGATTTGGGAGAATCACAAGCTGGGAGATGAGTCGGACAGTTAGACATCTGTCCAGCCGGATGTGGGGGTAGTAAGGGTTTCGGGGATCTAGACCTAAAAGTCCAGTATGTTGGGCTCCGATGGTGGGTTTGGAGACATCCTGGGATATGGTCCAGGTGGTGGGGAGACTCGGATGTACGGGTGGTCCCAGGTCTAAAGGACCGGTGCGCTCACCTCTACCCGGGCCCAGGCCAAGCCGCGCAGACGGTTCCAATCTGGTCGAAATGTGGTGGTGGCGGAGGAAGCTGTGAGCACCGCGAGAAGCAGCAGTAGCTGCGATGGAGGCAGCAGGAGGCGCATTGGACCAGGGTCCGAATCCGAGTCGGAGAAGATCCGCAGGATGGAGGTGAACCGCTGGGCCGCTGCGCCACGTCTGTCCCCCAGGGCTGGCCCTGCCCCCGTTAAGACCACGCCCCCATAGCCACTCCCCCAAGCCCTCGCATTCGACCCCAAGCCTCCCGAGGCTAGTAAAGGGTCCTCCTACTAGATCCGGGCAGGGTCCGGCGCCAACTGGCCCAAAAGGCCCTCACTTTCCCTTGTCTTTAGACTGTTCACGTTCCCTCTGCCGACTGAAAGTGTGGACACTCCCCCTTGATGAGACCGGACATCGCCACCTTACGCCGGCAGGGGGCGCGGGCAGGACGCAGATGGACGCGGAAGTTTCCAGGCCAAATTCTTGATTTGTAAACGGAGAAACTGAGGCCTGGGAGTATCCTTATTTGCGCTTATGTGTCTGGAAGATATCCTACTAGGGTTTTGATTCTCGAGAGTACACATTGTGGTGATATGAATATTATCTACCCAATGGGACTTAGTAGTCCTGGTGTGGCGCTGTAGTTTAAGCACTAAACTACTCATCACGAGGTTGACGGTTCAAACCCACCAGCCGCTCCTCAGAAACCCTACATAGAGTCGCTATAAGTCAGAACCAATTCGATGGCACTTAGCAACAGTAAGTGGGATTTGATTAAATAAAAGTGTTGTGAAATGCTGTTGAATCGATTCTGACTCACAGTGACCTAGCAAAGGGTTTCTAAGGAGCAGCTGGTGGGTTTTGAACAGCTAACCTTGTGGTTAACAGTCTAGTACTTATCCTAAAGCGTTACACTAGTACTCCAGTGGGACTTGGGAGGATTAAAGGGTTAATACACTTAAAGTTCTTTTGAACAGTACCAGAAAGTATTATTACATCATTTCCTTCCCAACTCACAAAAGCATGAGCTCAGTTTTGCATGTTAGAAAACAGACTAAAAAATGTGAAATTATTCAATTGGTGGACTTGGAATTCGATCTACAAAAGTCTTTGTCTTACCAGACTAAAGATAAAAATCTGGATGCCACTTGACCACTTCATTCCTAAGGCAGACATGACAATTCTACCACAGTGCTCTTTCCTCCTGAACTTTGGCTGGAACTCAGAATCTTTCTAATTACGACTGCATTACGACCTTTTTTTTTTTTTTTTTAATGTTTTATTGTGAATTAATGTGATGGTTTACATGGAAGAACATTAGTTTTACATTCATCCTGTCGTATATCGTTACATTGCCATGGTTACAATCCTCTCCATGCATTATCACCCAACCAAAGGGTATACGCTACAAGCCTGACCCCCTGTCGTCAGCACACAGCCCCTCTCCCTTTCTGGGTCTAAAGTCCCCAGCTGCTCCATCTCTCCACATATGACTTTTTTTATGTGTTTATTTTGGAAACTTTTTACTGTGAATTGAGAAAGCAGATCATCGGTTAGACATTCAACAAATCATACAGTTTCATTTCAATGATTGCAGTCCCCTCCATGTAACAACAACTATCTCACTTCTTCCCTGTGGTTCTTACTTCCATTCCACCTTCCTTCCCAACTTTTTGGAATGTTTTTCTTAAGTAAATGTTGCCCTTTTGATCATGAATGGTTGACCATTCCATGATGAGCATATCTTACTAATGTTGTTGTCCCTCCTATATACCTATTTATTATTTGGCTGAAAATACGGCCACGAAGGTGAATTCAGTTCTAGATGTGAAAGGTGACTGAGGTTCCTAGTCTCGGGTTCCTCCAGTCTCTTTCTGACCAGTAAGCCTATTTGGTTTGTTGGGTCATTTTTGGTGTTTTTTTGTTTTAATAATTTTGAGTTCTGGTTTCTATTTTCTCCCACTATATCTGAGACACTCTAATGTGATTCCTTGCAGAGCAGCTGGTAGTGGTAGCAGGGCACTATCTAGTTTTTCTAGTCTCAGGATCATGAAGACCGATGCTTCTCAAGTGTTCCTTTACTCCACTGGACAAACTGATTCCAAGAATCTTCAATTCTCATCACTCTTTCCTTCACACATGGAGAAACCAATAGTTGCAACTTAGATGGCTGTTCATGAGCTTTTAAGATCCCAGTCACTAATCACCAAAGTAGAATATTGCCTTTGGGGACTGTGATGCCAATTGACCACAATGTTCTGAGCCACCTGACCCAGCAAATCATTGTCTTACGATGTTTGGTAGTGTCTAAGACTTCAGTTTTCCTCCTTTGCCCCCTGTAAGCTCCACCACATTCATAGGTATGTTTGCAGCAAAGGTAAATACCAATATACAATTGTACAAATATCCTCTGTCAACCCATTATACATAGGTGCATGTACTCCCAAGCCATAGTATTTTCAATAACCTCATATGCATGCGAAAGCTGGACAGTGAATAAAGAAGGTCGTAGAAGAATTGATTCATTTGAGTTATGGGGTTGGAAGAGAATATTGAAAGTACCACGGACTGCCAAAAGAACAAACAGATCTGTGTTGGAAGAAGTGCAGTCAGAGTGCTTCTTGGAGGCCAAGGATGACCCAACTTCACCTCTCATACCCTTGAACATTGTCAGGAGGGACCAGTCACTGGAGAAAGAAATCATGTTTGGTAAGGTGGAGGGTCAGAGAAAGAGAGGAAGACCCCCAGCAAAATGGATTGGCAAAGTGGCAGCATCAATGGGCTCAGGTGTGGCAACAATTGTGAGGTTGGCCCAGGACCGGGCAGTGTTTCGTTCTGTGATACATAGGGTCACTATGCATTGGTACCAAATTGGTGGCACCTAACAACAACAGCAACTCCCATTCTGCCTCCCATACCCATTCAGACCATGTATCTGTCTAAGTATCTACCCATAGAACACTATTATTGCAGGGTTACAGTATGGCTTTTAAGAACCCTACGCAATTTTGTCTTTCTGGACCCCTTCTTCCATTTAAAAAAAAAAAAATTTAATTCGATTTTACAACTGCTTTGGAATAAAGTTGAAAATACACTTTGGAATAAAGTTGAAAATACACAAATTACAGAGGAGTTCTAACTGTCTTTAAATTGAATTTGTATGCAAGTTGGAACAACTAGGTATGGTTTGTCAGTGAGTCAAATGTTAGTCTTAATATAGTATGTAGTGTACCATTTTATGCATAAAAAATTAAAGGAACATTTCTAGATATACTAAAACATTCTTAGAATAATAATATAGTACTACTACCAAAAAGGAGCTCTGGTAGCGTAGTGGTTATGAATCAGGCTGTGAACCTCAAGGTCAGCAGTTCAAAACTACCAGATGTTCCACGGGAGAAAGATGAGGCTTTCTGCTCCTGTAAAGATTTACAGCCTCGGAAACCCTGTACAGGGTCACTATGAGTCAGAACCGACTCCACGGCACATAACAACAACAACAAACAATAAGGAGTCCCAGTGTGGCATAAGCACTGGAATGTTAACCATAAGGTCAGTGTTTCAAATCCACCAGCTGCTCCTTAGAAACTCTATACAGGGTCAATATGAGTTGGAACTGACTCCATGGCACTTAACAACAACAACAACACTAGTAATAATGTTTTCATGTATGTCACAAAATAGCACCAGTGTGTACCTTGAATTTGTAACATGCAGGCAATACTCAGCTTACGGGAGTCCTGTTGTGGCACTGTGAGTTAATGTGCTGGACTGCAAAGTCAGTTTGAACTGCAACGTTGGTTCAAGCTCACCAGCCACTGCTCGGAAACCCCATACAGAGTCACTATGGGTTGGAACTGACTCAACAGCAGTTAACAACAATAACAACAACAACCCAGGTTACCAACGCCCCACTTACATACAACCCGTAGTTACTAACCAACTCGTATAAAGCATCCAGTAACAATTCCTGGATCATTAAATGAACTAGTACCAGAGTTCTATAAATAACAAGGCAGATATCTAAATCTGACAGTTTGTACTTATGAGTTTTAATTTGCTCCCTCAGGCAGCAGTTCCTTGTGAAACTAATAAGGCAGGAAAAAGGAAAGTGACATTTACTGAGTGCCAGGTCTTACAGACACAGAGAGGGAGACAAGAACTCAGAGGAGACAGCTAGTTAGCAGAAAGGAATTCAAATCCACTGCTAGGTAGTTACACCTGCTCCACAGTGTCTGCGGTCAGGGTCACATGTGGCAGCATGGCCATGCAGGACAGGTCAGTTTCTTTGTGCATTGCCTGGAAGCCGCTGCAGCATAACAGGCCCACCTGCATGTGCTGTGCCATTCCACTAGTACCAGCATCTCCTATATCTTACTCAGCTCACTGCCATGACAGCAGCTGGCCACAGCCACCCACAGCCTACCAGCTGAAGTACATACAATTGTTCATAACAACAAACAGGTGCTACTTTGTCATGCATATGGAAACATAATTATTATTATTGTATTATTATGTTAAAATGTGTTTGTATATCTGTGTTTCTTTAATTTTCTTTTATGCATAGAAAAGTACACTATATACTATATACTGGACTCCTGGTGTGGCACTATAGGATCAGTACTGAACTATGAACCACAAGGTCGACAGTTCAAACCCACCAGCTGCTCCTCAGAAACCCTATGCACAGGGTTGTTATGAGTTGGAACAGACTCGATGCCACTTAACCACAACAACATATTACATATTAAGACAAACATGGGAATGTGATGATTCCATAAGGTAAGTAAGTACTGGACTGTGAATCACAAGGTTGGCAGTTTGAGCCCACCAGTTACTCTGCTGAAAAAAGACGAAACTTTCTGCTCCAGCAAAGATTTATAAGCCTCAGAAACCATATTAAGGGCTAGAACTGACTCAACAGCACTTAACAACAAGAAGACAAATATTCGATTAACTAATGTCAAATATGAACTGTACTTAACTGTTCCAACTCACAAATTAGACAGAACTCATTCATAATCCAGGAACTGCCTGAAATAGGATTTACTGGGGGTGGTTCAAACTATGGATTGTATGTAAATTGAACATTTGTACATATAATCCA